TTATATTGGAATCAAGAAACCATCTGATAATCTAAAAATTCTTACAGAGTACATTATGAAAGTATAATATGCAAAGGTTTGGTTCACTATCAAAACTGCACCTTTATGTACTTCCGGGGCTTATCATATCTTGAAATTAATTCAAAATTCAAGACATTTAAATGACGAATTAAGAGTAGTAGTCGACTCCGTAATACAACGAAATGGTTTTTATGGACACCCTGAAAATGTATTAATTTCAATGATCTTCGATTCACGTTAATATATATGAGAATTGGGATTTAGGAGAATATTAAATTGTAGATCCAAAGAAAAGAAAAACAATCAAAGAATGTCGTCAGAAAATTTGAGATACCAAAATTTTTTTTTAATGACGAAAATTACTTTTATCTATAAACTGATAAGAGTGTACCGTTACAGAACCTCCGATAACAAAACAACTAACCGACAAAGAAATTCAAGATTTTATTGAAACTGGTAATTTGCGGTTAAAAATCTCTGGAAATTACCTTGCCACACACAGGCTGTTAAGAGAGATGTTAAATTGGTGACAGAAGCAAGCTTGGTAGTATCTGGTCACAATAATAGAGACCGTGACAGGTCGACCTTCACCCATCTGATAACCAGATGAATTATATTTTTTATGAAATTTTATTGATTTATTAACACTTTTATGGGAACTTGCCATTCGAAAAGTGTTCATGGCTTTTTTTAATTAAATAAATTTTGATCAATTTTTGTATAACCTTCACTTTTCTGATAACCGAATAAATTTAATTTTAACAGATAGATTTTAACATGGAGAATATGTCTCGGTAGGTTTGTCTACTTAATTCTGTTCATGGCTACCTGACAAGCAGGTATGAACAGGTTATTCAATATAGGTAACTACACCCATATGTCAACCAATAAAAATTGACGTCAGAAGAGAGATAATTTAATTACGAAAATAATCGTATAGGCTTGCCTGCAAAAAACTGTTTATGGAATACTCTTGCCATGCTTTAAAGTTTTAAAATGGGAGAAATTAAATATGTGCGAGAGAGAAAGTAAAACGTGCGAAGTCTGTGTGATAGAATAGGGCACAACATAGCAACTACGCGCGATATGTCCGTTGAACCTGCTTGTCAGGTAGCCATGAACAGAATTAAGTAGACAAACCTACCGAGGCATATTCTCCAGGTTAAAATCTATCTGTTAAAATTAAATTTGTTCGGTTATCAGAAAAGTGAAGGTTATAAAAAAAATTGATCAAAATTTATTTAATTAAAAATAGCCATTAACACTTTTCGAATGGCAAGGTCCCATAGGAGTGTTAATAAATCAATAAAATTTCATAAAAAATATGCCTCATCTGGTTATCAGATGGGCGAAGGTCGACCTCCTACGGTCTCTTAGACTAAGATGGTTGGGTACGTACAACAATAGCATCTAGAAAAACCATGCCAAACTTTGACACCAAATCAGATTATGTAGTTAAAAACAATAGTTAAAAATAAATAAATTTTCATTGATGTATTAATTGATTCCTACAGATTGCATCCTAATATTTATTTCACCTCTCCTTTAATTGGCGGTGTTAACAAAATAAATGAATAAATAAGTAAATAAATAATATTTATATCATAAAGTAAGTGAAAAGCTGTCCTTAGACTAGTGTATTATAAATATTTTTACAAAAAAGTTAAAAAACGACCCACCCTATCGGTCATTGTGGCCAAATGCATTAAGTGAAAATTTTTCTATACCCATATTTGAAAACTTACTTATCCAGACAACAAGAGACATTTAAGATTTTTGGTCCAATTTCTGTAAGTATTGGTATTGGCCTTCCACCAAAAGACACCTTAAAAGTGGGTTGTTTCGTTTTCGTCAAGCCACACTAAATATTACATACCTATCACACACTGAACCTACTAGTTGTAATTCTAGACATTTAATTTTGGAGTCAAATAATTAGTTTGCCTTGATATAAAATAGTATATTACATTACGAGTGTGGAAAGTGACATTTTTCACACGATAAAATAACATTAGATACAAACAATATTAGAACACATTAACGTTTTTCATTAGTTTTTTTTAAGAAATAAGTTGAACAACCGTGAACAAAAACTTTTATTAATAATGATTACCTACTCACAATTTTTTTTTCTGAACATTAATTGAAATAGTACAAAATAAATAGAGAAAAGAATAATCGTATAGGTTGTATTATGATAAATAACATGTATTTTAAATAAATAAACAACAATAGTCGTATTTTTCCAATTTTCATAATTTTCAAATTAAAAGAAAAATCAGAAAAAGATAATTAATCGGGAATTGAACCAGCGTCACGAAAAGTTCGCTAAATGCCAAGTTGAAAATGTTAGACACTATAGATCTGCTCTATGACGATTATGTGATTTGACTTATCTAATTAAACATTACAGAAAAAAGCAAAAATAATGTAGATAGTTACTTTAAAATTCTTCTAATAATTTGTTAAAAACTAATGTTAACAATTTGGATATTACATCAATCAGAATAGAATAGACGTCTGATATATTTGACAGCTTATGCAGAAAGTAGATTCATGTTCACACACTGGTGGAAAGTTGCATTATGAATACGTGTGTAATATAGGGCACTTCCCATAAGACTAAATAGTGCGATAGGTGTCACTTTCCTAAGTTGTCGTAGAAAAAGTTGTACTACCTATGTATAGTCTTTCTAGACACAATCCAACACGGCAGAATAATCGATTAGTACCGACTTCAAAGGGATCGCGCACATGGGCGTACCAATTTTATTATTAAAATTAAATAAATTAAATTAATAATTATGTATAGTTCTTCCATTAAACTCGTTCCGAACTCTTACCGACAATTTTGTTTGATCTGTCACAGGCGTAGATACCTCATTTTATAAATTTAATATTTTTATAAATACGAGAAAGTATTCGTTAAAAGGCGATCGAATGATTATAAATTGGACGGCGTAATACGCCGTTATTTAGATAGATGCACTTAATTGTAGTCCTACTTGAAACTTAAAAAAATCATTATTATAGCTCGGTAATTTGCTACAACTGACGAGTAAAATGTACCTGCCTGTAAGGACGTTTGGTTCAAACAGGGTACCAGACGTGAACTGATCCCGGTCCATTGGTTTTTTTTCCGGAAAACGAAATTTCAAAGCAAATACCATAAAGAAAAATAAATTCTTTGCAAATAAAACAAAACTATAAAATAATTTAGAAAAATTAATTTTTTAAAAGAAATAAATGAATACGAACTAATAAAATGTTAACAATGAATTAATTTGATGACTCTCGGATTACCAATAATGAAAAATAAGAAAGTTAATTCGAATCTAAATCTGAACCATCTGTTGAGGAATCGAGGTTTGGATATACAGTGTGTCTACTTAAGTTATTCTTGATAATAAGTCCTACATGACCCAAAACTTAAAATACAGTCATCAGATATCAAATTTTTCAAGCCGTACAAAATCGAAAATTTTCTTTAAGAAATTTGCTAAATTCTTCACAAACATCAACAAAAGGAAAGCGTATCATGTTTATAGTAGCTAACGTAATTTATAACGTTTTCAGATATTTATAATCAATGTGTAGAGTGTAGAGTTTATAAAAAATAAGAAAATCTGTTTTTTCAGATAGATCGGTGTAATTGCATATTTGAATGTAATATTCAATTCTAATCAACTTTTCTTTATGAAAATTTTCGATTTTGTCAAAAATAAACGTACTTTACTCTTGAGCAAAATTCATATTTTTTGACAAACCTCGTATACGGCTTGAAAAATTTGATATGTGATGACTGTATTTTAGGTTTTGGGTCATGCAGGACTTTTTATCAGGAATAACTTTTTATCCTAAAATCAATAATAAAAATGTTTTCCATATGGTTCCAACTGTATAACTACTGTATAACTATTCTTTTTCCTTTTTAGGACGTGACTAATGCAAATTTTCCTAACGTCAGTCAAAGACGGATCTTTAAAAACGCCATTAATATTTTCAAATCACATTTGTTAAGATAGGTGCAAAATTATTACGTCTCAGATTTTGTTTAACTGAAGACCAAACTAATTCAATTGGATTAAGTATACAATATTAAGGTGGTAACCTCAATACAGTATGACTATTCTCTTCTGCAAAATTATCAATATAATACTGTATTGGAATATTCTTACTTTTAACAATTTGTAACAATTGTGGTTTTGTTTTTACGGAAGCAGGACAATCAATGTTATTATATTTTAAATACTTTGATATATCTGATTTCTTAGAGTCACTACTTGGCTTCTTGTGAATTTTCCGGGAATGACATGGCGTATTGTCCATTACAATGACTGAATTAGGTGGAATATTCGGTAAAAGTTGTTCAGCAAACCAGTTCTTAAAAACTGCTGCATTCATATCTTCATGATAATCCAGTAGAGCTTTATTGACATATTTTGCTGAAAGTAGCGAAGCGTTTGCTACAAAGCCATTTTCATTTCCAGCATGTAAAATTATGACTCTAGCATCTACATCTACCTCAAAAGGTCTCCAGAAAGCATCTTGTATAACACAAATCAAAATTTAACAGAAACACCGAAAAATAAAAACAAGTTTAACAAACGCTTTGGGAAAATTTTTTAAACCGTGCACGCTATTGAACAAAAATAGAACAACTAAAGTAGCCAGGCGAGTCAGTAATTCTGGCTGCTCACTTGTAGATGTTTAAAATTTAAGTGTGCTACATCAGAGGCTATACCAAGACTGTTCACGCTTATTTGCAATGTGAGGGTATAGAATTTGTAGCATTCGAATGGCATGTAACGCGAATTATTACGCAATCCCGGTATAAACGCCTGTATTGGATTGAGTCTAAAAACATTATATATTTCAAACACATTCTATTGGCGACAAGTTCCTACTCCACCAAAGTGTAGACGGGATTGTCGCTTCCTACAATTGCTGCAACATTTATAAATATTTTTTCAAAACAGGGATTGGCCAATCTCGATACAGTTGAAGAAGAACAAGACCAACAAATTGCCAAATTGAAAAAATTTAAAGACCAAATTACTGTTGAAGGAAATGTAAGAGTCCATGTTACAATGTAAGTTCAAATAACCATGCTTTAAGAAAAAAATAATTTAGTCAAAATGTCCAAATGATATAAAGAGTGATTCACAAAAAATGTTTCCAAAGTAGACCATAACTGGCGAAGATAGAGATACGAGTCATGTAAGGTGATAAGTACACATTAAAAAAAATTTTCTATAGCCTAATTAAATATTTTTTTGTGGATCTCTCCATATATTTATATTTTTCGCACGAAATGCTTCAATTTGTGAGGTGTATTGAAGATTACACAACTGCAATATAAAAGTAAAGAATTACCGTAACCAGCTCCGTTCCGTTACAATTGGAACACTTACTAAAACTTTCAACATAATTTAAAAAATATTTGAACACGAAAATGGCTTTGCATGTCATATTCCAAAAAAAATCGTTAATATGGTATAATATTTTACTGTTCCATAGAGACATTAAGGTATAAAATGAAAAAGCAGTTGCGTAAAGCATCCGCAAGATTAGTACCAGAATTAAAAGCAACTATTCGAGAAATACGGGGTGGGTTCACTGCACAATATTCTCAAGAGCTTGGAAATACAATGTCCTAAAGAATTATTGTCGCTATTAAAGCTAAACGTGATGTAAGTTAGGTTATGTTAGGTTGAAACTCATCGCCTTCCACTGCGACTCAGATGGACCTATTGTAAAAAAAGGTGATGTAACACCGTTGTGAAATTTTGTAAATATTTTGCAAAAATCTACGAAAAAACGTTTATCGGATATGTGTACAAAATAGCTTCTCCTAGAGTGTCAGTCACTAAAAATTTAAAAAGTGTTCCTATTGAAGCGGGACGGGGTAGAAGTACAACAAAGCACTCACTTTGAGAAAAGCTCTATATAAACACAGTATTTTTTTAACAGCGTTCTTTTCTTTAGTGTAATATTTTTATATTTAGGAATGTGGTGACTACCTGTAATATTATGTCTCATAATTGAATGGACAGTAGTCAGATACTGCACCTTTGGCCAGTGGACATTGGGACCGTCTTCGAATTCCTTTTTCCAATTTACATTGAATTACAAAATAATTCTAACTCCAGTTAGATTTCTTCACCAAATTAATTGTTGGGTTCTATTTAACAGTGTTGTTTCTTTAGTTAGAGCGTGCATGTACTGGGCGGCCAGGTCTCGAAGGTCAAGTCGTTGTGACCACTGACACCATTCATGTTAATTATACATAGCGCACTACCGACCACGACCAAAGGGTCACGACGGCCAACGAAAACCTTCTCGACGTGCATACGGCCAGTAAAATGCCGAGACCAACAATATACATTGTTTTAAATGATACTAGCGCTCTAACGACTGATAAATATAAGGAAGCTGCTACTTGCTTGATATATATTTTGAAACTAGAAAATTGATAGCTGGATATTGGATGCTATCATTGTCGCCAATGTGTCTTGGTCTCGACGACATAGCGCACTACCGACCATGACCAAAAGGTCTCGACGGCCAATGAAAACTTGCAGACGATCAGTAAAGCGCCGCGACCAACAGATTCATTGTCTAGATTCTAGAGCGTACGCGTACTGGACGACCAGGTCGCGACGGCCAGTCGACGTAACTAAGATATATTTGCGACAGTGATCGCGTCCAATATCAAGCGAACAATGTTTTAGTTTTAAAATAAATACCAAGCAAAAGTAGCATTTTCCTTATATTTATCCATCGTCAGTGCGCTACCTATCATTTATGACAATGAAACTTGTTGGTCGCGGCGTTTTACTGGACGTCTGCACCAATGTTGTCAACCTTGAAGTAAGCTTTTTCCTTCTACTTATCTTAAAAATTTCCACTTTTATGAAAAAATTCCGTCACGTTAACAAATTCAGTTTTATACCAGAAATACAAGCATGTACATATTTTTAAAAAGAAAAACAAAGGTGAATGACAAATTATTAAAAGTAGATTCTGAAAAACCTTTTAACAAACCTTCAAAAATACTTCAAAAAATTAACAAAAATTAATTTTATTTATTTCTAAAATCATACATATTTCACAATTTGGACTGCAGTAAAAAAGTCCCGTTTTGAGTTGTTTTCCCTTTTCCCTTTTGTGTTAAAAATTCCCACCAAACGAAAAATTTCCCTCCCTAGCAACAATGTCTGCACGTCGAGCAGATTTTCGTTGGCCGTCGCGACCTCTTGGTCGTTGTCGGTAGTGCGCTATGTATAATTAACATGAATGGTCACTTAGTGCGCGCACGCTTTTAAATGATAGGTAGATTAGATTAGATTTAATTGGAACTGTGGGCCATGTGGCCTCCCCCACCTCGACTTTTTCAGATCTATTGTGGATATCCTTAAATCGTTGTTTAGAGTACCTTCTCTAATTCGGTCTTTTGTAGTAGACTCCACAGACTCTGAAGTAGTTCTCCGGTATAGCTAGTTGCCCTTGGTTTTTCTTCTCCAAGTGTAAGGAATCTCAGTCTTGCTAGACCTTCGCAGTAGCACAATACGTGTACTGCCGTTTGTTCCTCTTCCTGACATAAGGTCTCTTCTGATAGGTATTGAACAATTGACAAATACAGTACTTCGTATTTCTTATTAGGCATAGTCATACTTTCACAGCGAACATGTGGCAACTTCGATATCCCCGCTATTGCTATATTCTCTAGCTTTGTGTCTAACATTCGGTTCGTCTAATATCCCACCACCATATCTGCTAATTCTAGTTTCTATTCGACGACTGGCTGTTGCCCTGTTACTATTTTATTAACTTGTATACTAGTCGTATGCCTAACACGAAAAAATAAGCACTATATAAGGAAACTGCTACATGCTCTTTATTTATTTTGAAACTAAAAAATTGGTCGCTTGATATTGGACGCGATCACTATCACAAATATGTCTTGATCGCGACAACTTGCGTCCGCTATTTTTCTTAAATAATGATGTCTCCACGCAATGATTTCGTCTTTCTCTGTTAAAAATCTGTTTTTGTCACGTTTTTTGTAACGAAAATTTAATTCATGTAATATTTTTTGTAGATGAAAATATGATATATTTGGAAGAGTGGGACTATTTTCTATTTCTTAGTGTTATTTTTTATTAAATGTACCATTTGTACATTCTTTACCCAAGTTTGAATAAAGGTTTAATTTCTTCCTGGGGGCTTTTTCGGATCTGAGACTTCTCCAATGACTGTATCTTCTTTAATAATGTTATACACTTTTCGCTTATATACTCCAGAATAGGTCTCACATTTAGTGGATATTTCATCCACAGAAAGTGAAACAAAGTCTTTTTTCGAAGATTATTAAATACATTGAGTACGATATTTTTTCTTCTAAAGATAATGCTTTATGCCCATTAGGTCCTTTACCCGTACTTGAGCTTGCAATATTTTCTAATGCACTCGCCATTCTTATATAACTGAAAAATTATAATATATACTAATACAAAATTTCGAATCAATTAAAGTGCATATGATATGGCTATGAATAAATAAAGTCTGACTTGTCAGTCAAAAGAAATTCTTTATTACATGCTTTATTACAGTAAAAACCATGGAAACATGATTAAATCTGAACGAAAACTTTTATTAGGCCGATCAGATGTATTAAAATGTTTATTTTAAATACGAATAAGCATTGAAGGATGAGGTATAAATAAAATGTTTACCTCTTGAACATGTACTATGTTCTGCAAACTAAATTAATGCACTTCTTTCTTCTCTAGACTATAATCATTGCCAGGGGCAGTATTGCTTTATTTGATAATAAGTATAAATAGGACATTCATTTAGGTTAAGTTTAATTTTAAATTATGTGTTGCAGTATTGTCACGTCCAGTAAAATATTAAAAAGCCATTACTAAAATACATTAAATAAATTATTACACTTTTAAATAAATTGTAGAATAACAATAATTGTCTCTAAGAGACAATTTCAATAATCTCTTAAATGTAAATATATCCTTAGGTAAATAACATTGTATACATTTCAAAACAAAAACATATACGTTGAACTATTAACACGACCTGCATTGTGTCAAATAAAAGAAATAGCAAATTCAGCAAATAGTTTATAGGTATAAATTCGAATTCGACACTGATTGCTGTACTGAGAGGTATTTAAAGTAAATATATAGACTCTGTCCGGAAGTTAATTCTTGTACTCTGTCACTTTCTACTTACACTATCACCAGGCTATTATAATTCATTTGTAGACAATTTCGTTCTTCCCTAGTTGGAACTTCCAGTGGGGGACTGTGCTTAGGTTTGCCACCTTCCTGAAAAGTGAAAAAAGACTACGATGTTGACAGGGACTCTGGTATGCAAGAAGTTCTCATCCTCCTACTAAACTTCTAAAAAAAAATCTTCATCGCCATTCTACCGAGCTTCTAAAAAAGGTCGCCGGGCTTAAAAAAACTTCTTCGTCTATCTACCGAGCTTCTAAAAAAAAAGGTCCGTAGCTTATTTTTTTGTCCAAACGTCCTTCCAAAAATATGTGCTGTAAAAAAGACATTTCCAGTAAAAATACACATTTGCCGTAAAAAGGACATTTTAAGCTTTAAAAAGTCGCAATTACATTTTGCTTCAAAAAAGGACAGGTGGCAACCCGAGCTGTGCTTGTGGGGGTAACTGCTCTGCCTTTCGGTTAGAGATCCATTTAAGTGTTAGCTTTATCACTAGATAGCAAATGAAGAAAATGAATGTATGAAATGAATTTTAATTAATTTTATATAATTTTTAATAATTTTTAATAATTTTTATTAATTTTTAATAATTTTTAATAATTTTTAATAATTTTTAATAATTTTTAATAATTTTTAATAATTTTTAATAATTTTTAATAATTTTTAATAATTTTTAATAATTTTTAATAATTTCTAATAATTTTTAATAATTTTTAATAATTTTTAATAATTTTTAATAATTTTTAATAATTTTTAATAATTTTTAATAATTTTTAATAATTTTTAATAATTTTTAATAATTTTTAATAATTTTTAATAATTTTTAATAATTTTTTAATAATTTTTAATAATTTTTAATAATTTTTAATAATTTTTAATAATTTTTAATAATTTTTAATAATTTTTAATAATTTTTAATAATTTTTAATAATTTTTAATAATTTTTAATAATTTTTAATAATTTTTAATAATTTTTAATAATTTTTAATAATTTTTAATAATTTTTAATAATTTTTAATAATTTTTAATAATTTTTAATAATTTTTAATAATTTTTAATAATTTTTAATAATTTTTAATAATTTTTAATAATTTTTAATAATTTTTAATAATTTTTAATAATTTTTAATAATTTTTAATAATTTTTAATAATTTTTAATAATTTTTAATAATTTTTAATAATTTTTAATAATTTTTAATAATTTTTAATAATTTTTAATAATTTTTAATAATTTTTAATAATTTTTAATAATTTTTAATAATTTTTAATAATTTTTAATAATTTTTAATAATTTTTAATAATTTTTAATAATTTTTAATAATTTTTAATAATTTTTAATAATTTTTAATAATTTTTAATAATTTTTAATAATTTTTAATAATTTTTAATAATTTTTAATAATTTTTAATAATTTTTAATAATTTTTAATAATTTTTAATAATTTTTAATAATTTTTAATAATTTTTAATAATTTTTAATAATTTTTAATAATTTTTAATAATTTTTAATAATTTTTAATAATTTTTAATAATTTTTAATAATTTTTAATAATTTTTAATAATTTTTAATAATTTTTAATAATTTTTAATAATTTTTAATAATTTTTAATAATTTTTAATAATTTTTAATAATTTTTAATAATTTTTAATAATTTTTAATAATTTTTAATAATTTTTAATAATTTTTAATAATTTTTAATAATTTTTAATAATTTTTAATAATTTTTAATAATTTTTAATAATTTTTAATAATTTTTAATAATTTTTAATAATTTTTAATAATTTTTAATAATTTTTAATAATTTTTAATAATTTTTAATAATTTTTAATAATTTTTAATAATTTTTAATAATTTTTAATAATTTTTAATAATTTTTAATAATTTTTAATAATTTTTAATAATTTTTAATAATTTTTAATAATTTTTAATAATTTTTAATAATTTTTAATAATTTTTAATAATTTTTAATAATTTTTAATAATTTTTAATAATTTTTAATAATTTTTAATAATTTTTAATAATTTTTAATAATTTTAAATAATTTTTAATAATTTTTAATAATTTTTAATAATTTTTAATAATTTTTAATAATTTTTTATACTATAATCTATATTTGTGCCAAATTTCATCCCGATCCGTTCGGCCGTTCTTGCGTGATTGAGCAACATCCAAATATCCATCGATCCATCCAAACTTTCGCATTTATATATTTATATAATAATATGATGAATGATTATCAATTTGGGCTACGTTTCTTTATGAAATGAAAATCTAATTAAAACATAACAATTTCATTAATCCATCAATAATACTCATAAAATAAAACAGATATAACCACAGACAATATAAAAGGGCATTATCAAAACATTCCGCCGTGAGTGGCAAGTCACGACGCCGACGCCTACTCCAAAACTAAAATGTATCTTTAGTTTAGATACCTCTCAGTATATACCTATTAGACCGTCAGATAGTGACCGATTTAGGTGCCCCATTTTCGCATACAAGCCTCGAAGAGGATTGAAAAGTACATCGATGTTGAGTAGAATAAAAGGAAATTTACGAGTGGCTCTTGGGGATAACATAAGGAAAATTCGATTTTCCTTAACAGAAAAATTTCCCGGCTCCAAAATGCACTTATACATTCAGATCATTAATGAAAATATGTTTTTCGGACTAGTAACGATGTACGTTTTCATACATTCGATGGGCTTGTGTGGAAAAATCGGGTAAAATCTTGATTTTTCCCTAGAAGATTACTCCCTTATTTTAACCCTTTATCCACTTGCAACAATAAAGCCTTTGGTTTTCCGAAGCCTAGTTCTATTAATTAATCATATTAGTGAAAACGGCTTGCATGAAAATATGGGCAACAAATAAGCTTTTATTTTTGTTAGGGAAAATCGAATTTAGGCATGTGTTATCCCCAGGAGCCACGCGTAAATTTCCTTTCATTCTACTTAAATTTGATGTACTTTTTAGCCCTCTTTGAGGCTTGTATGCGAAAATGGGGCATCTAAACCTGTCACTATCTGACGGTCTGTACTATTAGCTGAATTTGCTATTTCTTTAATTCGACCCAATTAATGCAGGTCGTGTTAATAGTTCAATGTCTATGTTTTTGTTTTGAAATGTATACAATATTATTTACTTAAGGATGTACAGGGTGATTCAAAATTGAGTGCAAAGATTTTAATGGCGCATTTACCAGCCAAATATTGGAAAAAAAATTCATATAATTGTAAAGCAGATTTTCATAACATATGCTGGAAATGGCTGCCTCCTGTAGCGATACAACCCTCCATTCTTCGCCTCATGGACTGTCGAACGCGCTCGATAATTCCGGGAGTGAATGTGATTCCCTCGAAGGCATTAAATATCTTTTGTTGTAGGATTTCAATGGAAGGAACTGGTCCTGAATCATACACCAAGCTTTTAACATAGCCCCATAAAAAGAAATCCAACAGGGTACAGTCTGGAGAACGCGGTGGCCACGCTATTGGACTTGCTCGGCCGATCCAGCGTTTGGGGAATTCAAGGTCTAAATATTTGCGGACAGTTATTCGAAAATGGGGAGGGGCTCCATCGTGTATAAAATAAAGGTTTTTGCGAATATTCAACGGCACATCCTCCAATAAACCGGGTAAAATATTTTGTAAAAAGTCCTGGTAAGTATTACCATTTAAAGTTCGGGGAAAAATAAATGGACCAATTAAAAAGTCCCCAACAATTCCTGCCCAAATATTCAAAGTGAACTGTTCTTGGTGGTTCGATTGTCGAATTTCGTGGGGATTTTCCATTGCCCAAACATGGATGTTATGATAACTAACGATCCTATCGCTGGTAAATTGGGCTTCGTCCGTAAACAGGATGAAAGATAAAAAGTTCGGATCCCTGGCACAACTATTTAGTGTCCATCTTGCAAATTGTATCCGCAGAGGAAAATTGCGTGGGAGCAAACCCTGCAGATGCTGGATATGGTATGGATAAAGACTATTTTGATGTTAAACTCTCCAAACTGTCGATTGACGAAGGTTTAAATCCCGTGCAATTTGCCTCGTGCTTAACGCAGCATTCTCCTCAATAACTTGCAGAATTTCCTCTTCCGTCACCACGTTGCGGACTTCACGCGGCCTACTAGCATTCATTCTGGTAGTTTGGAATCTTCCAAATTCCTGGAGATGCCGATGAGAGTTGCTGAAAGTTCTGCAGTTGGGCAGCCGACGATGAGGAAATCTTAACGAGTACATCATGCTAGCTTTAAGTGCGTTTTCATCAGCCAGACCATAAATAAAATGAATGTCTGCAAGGTACTCGAATGAAAATGGTTAATTTTCCATCGTTAAAAAAAAAGAAAAATGAAAAACAACCACACAAAAATAACTTAACCTACTGTAAACATCAAAACGTAAATAATGACAAATCTGTCATTGTTAAGGAGAAAAACAAAATACTGCTAACAAAGGTCAATGCTCCTTAGGTTTTTTTAAAGTAATTTTCATAGTAGTAACAAGTTTTTTTAGAAAATAAAAACAGAATTATTAATAAAATAAAATCACACTTTGAGACGCCACTGGAATAAATAATGAAATTTCATAACACAAATAAAAATTAAGACAGACCTATTTGGCGACAATCTCCATCATTTAGTAATTAATTTTTTTACTTGTTTTAATAGGACCAGGCACAGATTTTGATTGGAAACAAAGCTAGATACGAGTAAAGTTCAAGAGGCAAGACAGTTACATTATTGACCGTTTAATCTAAAAAAAATCATTTTACCTATAAGTATCAAGTAGGTAGCACCCTGAGACGCCACTGGAATTAATAAATTTATTTTATTCATACCAAGGCAAGGCACTTATGACGACAAATAATCCTACCAAATTTTATTTAAATCGACTTAAGATTTTTGAGGAATTGATAAAAACGATTTTTTTAAAAAACTTTGACACCCTGTATCTAGAAAACGAAGCAAGTTAGGAAATATGATTATATGAAAAATGTTTCTTATTTTTGGCTGGTAAATACGCCCTTAAAATCTTTGCACTCAATTTTGAATCACCCTGTATTTATATTTAAGAGATTATTGAAATTTTCTATTAGAGATAATTATTTTTATTCTAGGATTTATTTAAAAGTGTAATAATTTATTTAATGTATTTTAATAGTAATATTTTACTGGACGTGTATGATCAAATACAGTTTCCATAAATCATGTTTTTGATATTTAACATTTGTTTAGGCAGGGTCCAAGAGAAGTTTTATGTACAAAATACAACGAGGAATTTGATTACATCGCTGGTGGATATTCGGATGGTGTTGTTAGGGTGTATAAAAGTAATACAGGAGAGCATATATTTACTCTTAGCGATAAAGAAGTGGACAATGTAGGTGCTCCATGTACTTCTATAAAGCACAGACAAATTTCCAAATTGTATCCCATTACAAACTGTTACACAGCAACATGTAAGTTGGTCCAGTTATTAGCAAGATAATTCATTACCATTTAAAAGTGCTGTAAAAGACCTAAAAGAACATATACGAGGATGGCATAAATAATTTTCGGCCTAAAGAAGGTAAAAACAGAATATGGAATCAAAAACCCTTATGTCGATATAGTCTCCTTGTCGCTCAATACACTTCGCCCAATTAAATTCAATGCCTTTTGTGCCATTCCTATAGACCAATTTTTTCCAGCTCTTCAAAATAGATGTTTGGGATGGCAACGTACATTTTTTTTAAGGTTGGAAATAAACTGAATTTTGAAAGGGCCAAGTCTGACGAGTAGGGTGAATGGGGCAGTAATTCAAAGCCCCGTTAATTCATTTTAGTCATCGTAATAATGGACTTGTCACACGGCGCATTGTTCTGAAGAACAACACTTTTTTCGATAAGTCATACCTTCCTCCAGAATTTTCTGTTGCAGCTGATCAAGCAAGTTAGCATAATATTGTCTATTTAATGTTTTACCCTTTTTAATTTAATGGTAAAAATAATACATTTTGCATCACAAAATACCGACGTCATAACCTTTCCGGCCGATTGAACCGTTTTCTCCATCTTTTCACTTAAGCTGTCAATGTCACGATTGCTGTTTGATCTTTGATATGTAATAGTGAACTCGTCTCGTCCATAGTTATAAATCTACGAAAAAATTATTTTGGATTGTGCTTAAATTGCAGCAAACAGCCTTCTGAAGCGTTCATACGAATGAGCTTTTCTTCGATGTCAGCAATCGCGACATTCAACTTACGAAGAGTTTTTTCGTGTCCAAAATTTATCATAATATGTGATGTGTTCGATCTTTTGAAATCCACAAAGTTTCAGCTATCTCCACTAACTTCAATCGACTTTCACTCAAAACAATTTTATGGAATTTCAGGGCCATATTTTCAGTAGTAGCCGATTTTGACCTACCTGGGCGTTCTGCATCCTTAGTGCTTGTACGGCCACCTTTAAAATCTCCAACCCATGTTCTGATTGTTGAAAATGATGAAACAAGTCGCCTAAAATAGAATCTAACTCGGCTTTGATTTCCGTGGGATTTAAAAATTTAATGTGAAAATATTTTATAACAGCACATACTTCGAGTTTCTCCGTTGTTCAAAAAATTTAGAACTTGATTAGTATAACGAGCTGTCAAATACAAAACATTGGACACAAATGTACAATATTCAACTAGAAAACTTTTACACCTATAGTTTATAGTCAATGAAATTATTTTGTTTTGAAACTTTTACATGACAACCAGAAAAATTAACGGAAATGTTTCTCTTAATGAGTACCCTGAACTAAATTACACTGTACATTTTTGACATTTGAGAAGCTCTTCCATTCACATTAGATTAGGATGCAGCACGCAACGGTGTAATTAAAAAAATTACCATTTCAATTGTTAATATTTTTTTATTCCAATTATAACTAAATAATTGGGTTTTTCGCATCGACTAAACCTCTTCAAATATGATAAATCGCATAACCTGGCAGCATATTCAGATGTAGCAGGTAAGATATCCAATCACTTCTGCCGAATATCGCATTACATGTAACGTGCACGATGGAACTGAATAGGATATCGAGCCTGTTACATATTTTTAAGGATTGGTCTCGGAAAATGAAGCAGCACAGCATGGTTGGCATACACTAATAAAATTTTACAGCATATTGAAAATGTTACACAACAATTCCCACCAGCTGTCATGGATAATTTAAAAAAATATAGTACACGTATAAAGGAGCAAGCAATATTCAGTTAGGCACAAAATCTGTGGAAAAAGAAAACTAATGGGGAGACCTTCTCTCAACAGCAGAAAATACAGTGTGAGAGATCCACATTCATTAAATATATGTAACGAACAATCGTTGTTTGGGATACAACAAAGCCCAAAAATAAATCGTTGGTGTTCATATAACTGAATTATTATTATTATATTTGGTTTCTTAATGGCGAAATGATTTTTTTTTAAATTCGTAATTTCAGATTTTGAATACAAATTCTATGTAACAGTCACGATATCCGATTGAATGCAATCACGCACGTTACATATTGTCGTGAGAACACCTTAGCCGACTCTGTTCTTCCATCTACCACCCGACTCATGGTCGAAACATTACCGGAACCTTTTAGGTATGCCGCTGACGCTTCGAGATTCTTCCAGAAGGATTGGTTCTTTCTGGGCCGTTACACTTTTATATAAATAGCCGCAACTTTGTCGACAAGTTAAGATTCAATTTAAGTGTTGGACATTAAAAACAAATCGTAATAAATAAATTAGGATCGTGAGTAAGTGCCTAAGTATTATACAGGGTAGCTGTTAATTTCAACTAAATATATTTGCGTATATTTTAGCCCAAAAATTATTTTTTTTTATAATTACAAAATTTTAAGCATGGCAATCTGATTTTTTTTAAATAGCAACATAGGTCACGTGATATATCATTTGAAAGGGTTTAACACCCTGATTACAAAAATGTATCACACATGGGGTCTAAACGCAACAGGAAGGATATTATTATTAGGGAGCGTAGGAGGCTGTGCATTTGACACAAGACACCATGTAATCAGGGTGTTAAACCGTTTCAAATGGTATATCACATGACCAATGTTGCTATTTAAAAAAATCAAGTTGGCGGTTATGCTTAAAATTTTGTAATTATAAAAAAATAATTTTTGGACTAAAATATACGCAAATATATTTAGTTGAAATTCTGAAATTTTGGTTTTTGTATATTAAACCGTTCAAGCACTATAGGTTTGGTTCCATCTTTAACAGCTACCCTGTATAAATTAATTAGTACGTTATAAATAAATTATAAATAAAGTGTTTTAAATAAAAAAACTATAAATAAATTAAACAAATAAATAGTGGACAAAAAATGGCTAAAAAACTGTGTGATTTAAAAGTGGCTTAGTTACGTCGAGAGTTAGAAGAACGTAAACTGGAGACGACGGGAAAGAAATCAGAGATGGCAGAACGACTTAAAAAAGCACTAGAAAATAAAGGTTTGGATTTGGAAACGTATCTATTTTCTGATGATTTATCTTCTGCTATAACTTCTTCAATTTCTTCTGATATGGAAAGTAAGATATATTCTTTAAAAATCGATATTTCTTTTGATGTTTACTCTATAAAAAATAATATATCCTCCTTAGAAAGTAAAGTTTCTTCAGAAACATCTTCCTTAGATAAGTTTCTACCTAAGAAGAAAAGGTGTCTTCTGAAATTTCTTCTATGGAAAATCAGATATCAGTAGTTGAGAATAAATTGTCTTCTGTTGAAGAGAAATTAAAAGAGATGGAAAAGAAGATAGAAGAACTGGAACACACAGAATCGGCTAAGGACGGTGAAATAAACTGCTATGAGGTGGAGTTGAAGTTGAAAGTGGAAGGAGCTGTAAACTCTGCTCATGTTAAAGCTCCAACTTTCGACGAGAAGATGTCATGGACCTTAAACAATTCGAAACAGTTGCCAGAGCAAATGATTGGTCTGAACGAGAGAAGGCTGTAAATTTGAACATTGCCCTTCGAGGAGATCCTTTAGATGTTCTTCACGGGTATTGAAAGAGACAGATGATTTTGAAGATTTCAAAAAGAGACTAAACATGCGATATGGCCACTATGAACACTTGGAGCTGGTGTACCGATTACAGTTGAAGAATCCCAAACAGAAACGTGACGAGAGCCTTCAAGAATTCGAATTAGATATTGCGAAGATAATGCGATTTGCCTACCTATCAGCTCCGGAATACATGATTGAATGTTTGACTGTTCAAGCATTTGTTGATGAACTTCGTGAGACCATGAAATGCAAGGAACCCTCCGTTTAGCCTGTCACAAAAATTGGTCGATGTCTTGTCCGCTGCTCTTGAATATGAAGCGGCTACGCTGGCTTCTGGTGGATACAGTGAAGTAAGAACTGCAAAAGATGAAGAAGAGGGAAATAAATCCGACCAATTGTGTCACATGATAAAAAGCCTTATTGAGAAGCAACCGAATACTATTGGGTGCTGGAATTGCGGTAAAATGGGAAATGTAAGCATTTCGCGCAAACGCCCAAAAAACACTACGAATCGAAAAACCGTGTCAATGGCTGTACAGTAAGAAACGGTATTACCTGATAGAAAACCATAATAGTAACGCGGTTGCAAGTAACTGTAGAGAAAGCAACGCCTGTCATGGTGGAACCTTCGAAGTGCAATGAAGGCCACATCTGCTAAAGAAGTTGCAGTATGAAGAACAACGATTGTCAGCGATGACTAGGCCCCTGCCAAACTTAGGAGAGAACGATCCCGTTTTAAAGAAGATGTGACAATGGAAAGAGGAAAATCGTCGCCCGACTTGGCAAGAAGTATCGAAACTCTCTTCAGTAGTTAAATCATATTGGGCTTAGTGAGACTTCTTTATTCTAAAAAAAGGTTTATTAAAACGAGTACTAGATAATTATGATGGTTCCGAAAACAGAAGACAGTTGGTCATTCCAAAGACTAGAGTATCCGAAGTACTTCGTTACTTACACGACAGTCCATCAGGAGGACATCTCGGTGTTAAGAAAACCCTTCAGAGAGTTCGTGAAAGGTTTTATTGGATGAGCAGTTCCGATGATGTAAAGGAGTGGTGTAAGAAAAATATCACCTGAGCTATGAGTAATGGACCCCAACGAAAAAAGAAGGCGCTCATGAAGCATTACAACGTCGCTAGCCCATTTGAAAGAATTGCCATTCCTATAACCGAGAATGGTGATAAATACACGATGGTGGTTATGGATTATTTCACGAAGTGGGTGGAAGTCTACGCCATTCCAAATCAAGAGACCGCAACTGTTGCAGATATGTTAATAAAAAAAGTAATCTGTAGATTTGGAGTGCCTTTGGAGATTTACAGTTACCAAGGCAGAAATTTTGAAAGTCAGCTTTTCCAAGGAATCTGTGATAGACTAGGCATGAAGAAAACCAGAATTATGGTATTGTACCCACAGTCAGATGGAATGGTAGAGCGAATGAATAAGACCATTGGCAAATATCTGTCAAAAGTAGTTTATAGCCATCAGCGAGATTGGGATGAGTATCTTTTGGTCTTCGCAATAGCATATAGATCCGCTGTCAATTAATCTACAAGCCGAACACCAGCAAAGGTGCTGTTCGGGCTTAAGATGAGACTACCGTGTAACCTCGAGTTTGGATGCCAACCTGGAGAAGACATAGCCGGTGATCCAACTAGGATGAAAAATGGACGACATGCATGAGTTAGTTCGCTCGCACCTTCAAATGATCAGCAACAGAATGAAGAAGCTCAAGCCACAGAAATATGTTTTAAGGAAGGCGACAAAGTCTGGCTCCATAACCCAAAAAGACAAAAGGGTTATTCTCCGAAGCTTCAAAGGTCTTGGGAAGTTCCGTATCTCAACAAGAAAAAAATCAATGATATCAGTTACAATATAAGTAAGATCCCAAACGGTAAACCGAAGGTATTGCACCAAAACCGGCTGGCGCCATTTGAGGGTAACCATGACGAGGAAGAAGAAGTAAACCGGCGCCAAGAAACACCTGACCTTGTCTTTAAAGAATTTGTGGGCGCATATAAAGGTAACGCAAAAGCAAGACATGGTGTTACAACCGAGCAACATCAACACCTGCTCGAGGTTCCTAAATATTACTCGCTGGTCCATAGCACTTCCGCCAATATATACGACGCTCGAGGTTTGGCATCTATGTTCCGGAAGAAGTTTGGTCGATTGCCAGAACTTCAAGATCAGTTACCAGCCCTGGAAAAGCATTGAAACTTCAAGATGGATAGCGTTATATTTTCTATTTAAGAACACCTTCTGAGCTCGATCCACTTGTCATAATGTATGGGAAGCATTACTCAGTCTGGGGGAACATATACTGAAGTCCAATGTAGAGAAACTAGCCATGCCAATGATAGAGAGCAACCAGCTGAATTGGAGGATCATTAGAAACATGGTGGAAGTAATCTTTCAAGACACCCAGGTTAAAATACAGGTCTGCAGCCTTTCTCCCAGCGTTCAGGTTATAGCGAAGACCGTCCCCTGTTACTTCCATGTAAAAGAGGGCCCAGTTGCATATAAAACCATTCAGTTTTAGTTAAGAAGGGGGCAATGTTGTGAAAACGCCTGAGCCAACTCTGTTCTTCGATATATGTATTTTTTATTCTAAATTATTTTCGAAACAAGTGTTAAATCGCTTATCGAGCATAATAATTTATTCTAATTTACTATATTAACATGTACTTCTATTTTTGAGAATAAATTATATTATTATTATTATTATTATTATTATATATAGTGCGACGAGAAGTCTGCAACCCGACTCATGGTCGAAACATTTCCGGAATCTTTTAAGTATGCCGCTGAAGCATTGGGGAAGCACTTTGCGAACGCTTTGAGATTCTTCCAGCAGGATTGGTTCTTTATGGGCCGTTACATTTTTATATAAATAGCCGCGACTTTGTCGACATAAGTTAAGATTCAATTTAAGTGTTGGATAGTAAAGACAAATTGTAATAAATAAATTAGAATTGTGAGTTAGTATTATATAAATTAATTAGAACGTTATAAAAAAAGTGTTTTAAATAAATAAACTATAAATAAATTAAACAAACGTTACTATATGAAGTAACGGTCGACATAGCCGAATGGACATCTTGACTGCTACTTCTAAATATACAACCTGCAATGGCCAACTTAGTTTATTTGATTTTAGCCGTTTTAAATAAGGTCTGTCAAATTATGAAATTTTGATCATTCGGTGTAAAATTTTCTTTCCTAATACCATGGAAATTTTTGCTCACCCACGAATATTTTAAGAAAATTATCGTGAGTCCGAAAAAAATACCGGAAATAAGTTAGGCACATTAGTGAAAATCTTTGTCAAATGTCCAGCTTACTTATTCCGCCTTTTACATTTATTATTGACTTTTCCATTTAACGGAAGTGTCAATAATCGTCTCCTTTATACAATTAGCGATTCAATTATTTGACAAATACAAACTTTTAAAAATATGAATTACAATATTTAAATGCTTTCGAAATTCCTCTAGTACATATTCGTTTTTTAAATGCCGAGTAACTAGGTGTTAAATGTTATGTAATAAATAAACTTAACATTTGAAATAAATATGAGTGAATGCGCCACGTATCAATAATACTTCTTCAAATCTTCCAAATATGTTTTGTTGCGATGTTTCCAATCGACTGTCTTGAGGTTAATAAGGCAAATGTGTCAGATTACGATAAACTTTTTTTAATATCCATATCCTCATACAGCACAAATAAGATATATTTTTTAAGTTTTTCCAAACCACTGAATGAGAGATCTTGGAGAGACCGTTTTCCACCCTCCAACCCACAGGATGAGAGATCTTGGAGATCGGAGAGAAACCGCCCTCCAAACCACAGAATGAGCAATCTTGGAGATCAGGGAGAAACCGCTCTCCGCCCTCCGAGTCACAGAACGAGAAATCCAGGTTACTAGTTTTTAACCAATACCAGCCGCCCGACCAGCATAGTAGCTCCAAAGACACCATCGGTTCTGACGGGCCCTACGTCGAGTTGTTCAACAGCTGTGCTTGACCGGATTAAAATCATGTCTACTGAACCCATCGAAATCTGTGCTAAATCAAGCACCTGCGACCAAAAACTCTCTGCCTCGAGCAGTAAACCCCGTGTCCAAGAGTACGTTATCCGTTAATCAAGACAGGCATCTGGAACGATGCCTGCAGGGTTATTCTACTAAATTTATAGCCCGGCTACAAGTTGGATTTTGGCTTGAACTTTATATGTTCCTAACTTCAAAATCCAACTTGTAGCCGGGCTATAAACTTTTAGCCGGGCTATAAATTTAGTAGAATAACCCTGCTGGACTCCGAAGTAGCAGCTTTACAAGCCTTACAGGGGCCGACCAATCTGTCATAACCGGTAATCCGTCCAAACAAACCCATGCCGATCAAGCAGCTTCGAACTACTCGAGTATTTCCGTTTGTAGACCGCCCCTGATCGCCCCCTTGAAAATTCATATTTTCAGGTACCCGTATCCTTTTCGTTTGACCGCGTTTCAATGTCTCATACTGCTCCCAAACGTACCCGAAAATCCGATTCTACTTTTGTAGAATTCCACCCAGGAACCTGCTGGGACACCGTCGTCAGGTCTGCACCAATCAACGTAAGATCTTTTGCACGAGATGTGGGCGTCGTGGCCTGCTGTCCTGCAACTGCGAATGTCAATACCGTCCACCGTCCAGGCAACCCTCAACTTCCATGGTATCGTCCGCAAGCAGCGTCCAATCAGTTTCGGTGCAAACCGATGCACCACCGTCACAACGTACCGTCGCGGTCCAGACACCACCATTGCAATTGACTTTTTTTGTAGATTTAATATCAACCCGTCCGTGGATACGCTGTAGGAAAATAGAGCTAAAACTGTGTTTTATCTTTATTTTCTTTGACCGAAAGAGGATGATGTAACCAAGTCACTAAATGAGAGAGTAACTAAATTTTAATTAATTATAAAAATGTTATTTTAATTAATTTCCGTCGAGGAACATTATAAAGATCTCGCATTTTAGATTCCCTAGTAATTTCCGGTTTTGAACATCTGAGAGCCCCGTAGTTTAAAATATTCTGGTATACTCGTATACCGTAATATAGGATGGAGAAAACAAATTTCACTCTCTTGATTCCTGATCACCGCGCCGTAAATCTTTTTTAGTGCTGGTATTCCGAAGTCTTTGACTAGTAAAAAGTTAGTTGACCGTTCATCGTTTTTCCCGTTGCTGTACTTTTCGAATAGTAATCAAGGGTACCGTAGGGTACGAGGTATAAGTGTCTTAATCTTAATTTAGTGGTTACCTCGTTAGCAGTAACCGCCTGGAGGTATTTTTAACTCAACTGAGTTTATCTTGAGTACACTCTGGTGTACTACAGGGTCACAAAGCAAACTGTGTTTCCAAAACTGGCTTCTGAGCAACCCCTATTCTACATTCACCATCTTAGCGCCAGACTTCCTCATTCACTGTAGGTGAAACCAGACACTTGTCATAATACAACTCTTGTCACAATACAACTCTTGTCATTGCAAATTTCTGTATTGCTTAAGTTAATCTTACTGGTTGTGTTTTTATTAATAAAATAATAAATTTTAAATACATGAGTTAGGAGGAACATAATACCTTATTCTCAAAAAAAAACAGAAAAGCTAAAAATAGAATAAATCGAACGTTTTAATTTATATTCAGTCAAAAAGAGTCTCACCTAATTTCAACATCGGCCGAAAATAGTTTATATTGCGGACGTAAAATTTAATATTATTTAAAAAATTTCTACAATAGAAATTAAGAGCTAAAATTCAGCAGAGCTTTTCACTCTTTTATAAGTGAGGGCTGGGTTTATAGGTTTTTAAAACACTTTTTTTTAATACGATTTCCATGGTCTTATTTTACTATAATTAAAATACAGATGAGCATATCAAAAAGGTGAACACCTCTGCTGAATTTCAGCTCTTAATAATCTATTTGTAGGAATTCATTAAATAATATTTAACTTTATACATTTTTGGCCAATGTTGAGATTTGGTAAAAGGTACTATGTTTCTCTTAAGGAAACAATACCATTTTTAAATAAAAACTGAATAAAAAAGTGTAGCTAAAACCTGGAAATATGGGAGAAATTTAAACTTTCATGGTCGGCAAAATAGCTTCACGTAATCTATAACCCATTTTTTTCAAAGATTCTATAGTTATTCTAGTACATTTTAATGTATAATTTATAGATGCAAATGGCTGTGTAAAATGTTGGAGCTACCATTTTAATCAATGCCTCTATACAATTAGAGAGAAACGTCAAACGTATGGACTAGCCTATCACCCAAGGTTTCCTAAATTTGTCACATATGGGGATGACCTTAAAATTCATCTATATGATGAGGAAACCAGAACCCAAGAACGAATATTAACATCAAGGTAACCACTTTATTTTAATTATTATTTTAAAACTACAACTAAATTAATTGTCCAATAATTTAAACGATAAATGCCCAAAAATACATTCATATCAAAAGTGTATCTGTAAAGAGGGGGAGGGTAAGATACTGCCTCCTTCAGCATTTAGTCATTTATGCATCCTCCTGAATCGGCGAGGCTCGTCAACCACCTTACAGATTTTATGTACCTACCTGGATGACAATGTCGCCAAGAAATGCCTCTCTTCTGCTCGATGGTCTCATCTTCTTGTTTATAGCTCTAGTATAGTGTGAAGTCTGACAGACCCATATTTTTTAGCATCTTCCGTAATAGCTCCATAATAATTCTACAGCTTCTCGTTTCATTCAATTTTTCCTAGAATTTTACAAGGAAATGTTCGTTAATTCATTTAGTCACAATCGATGTTATTAGTTAAATGGAAAGATCATGAGAAAATTTGTGGTCTGTCCGCAGTGAGTAATGCTTGCTTATTAAAATAAAGTAATTAGATAAGCATATTTTTTCTAGTGATTTCTTTTGCTGCTATGAGAATACCAGTGAGCTCAGTAATTTTCATATATTTTTTGATAGCTCAAAAAATTAACTTTGCATTACTAAAAAATGTTTGGCAGTATTCCACTATTTCTTGTAGTTTAAATGCTAACTTTCTCGCAATTTCACTGAATGTTCCCCAAATTTTGAACGCTCAAATGTGTCGATTATACCAAGATAAAAATTGAGGTATGTTTTCTATGCCCAGCCGTGTAATGTTCTGGTGTTTTGGAGGCTCAAAACCGTACATACTGCATAGCCGGAGGCATATTCGTATACTGCCGACACGTTAGATACTCGGATCAGTTCGGTATCGAGAATAACAGCCTCTTAAAATCCCGACGTGTTAGACTAATACGTCGGCAATTTACGATTACGAGTTATCTATGCATTTATTTATATTGATATATTGTTAGTATAGGTATTTTTTTAATAACGCGCATAATTAGGAAAATTAATTCCAATTCAAAAATGTCTTGTATATTTAGCAAAATTATTTTAACATAAATATTTTTAAATTTAAAAACTAACTTTTGTTTAAGAAAAAGAAAATTTTAATGGCTTCTTTAGGTTTCATTATTTTGATTTATTTTCTCCTAAGCCCACATTATTTTTGACACACGTTGCCACCGAATGGAGGTGGAAAGATCGACCCTTAGGACAGGAGCGAAGTATTATTTATATAAAAAAACTATCTAACGAAATGCAATCTTAATTTATTTCATATTTTTATGGTGGTTACTTTTGGAGATAAGTTGGGAGGACAGCAATTCATATTTATTATTATTTTTTTTTTTTTTCGAAAAAGTGTCGAAGAAAAAAAAACACGAACTTATTATACATTTTTGAAATTGTATTTTAACGAGCTTTAATTTGACACCCCACACGATAGAATAATTTTTTTTTTCTAATTTCCAATTTAACTCGCCCAAACTGACCTCCTAGTTTATTTTAACTTCTAAATCGGAAAAATAAAAAAATACCCTTTTCCGTTTCGGTAGATATCTATTAAAATGACAATTAAAAATGTTTTTCTTTGGCTACAATAAAAAACCAATTTTTTTTTATTTTTTTGATTACGAAATAAAGTACATTTTGTGACATTTAGGTTTCTAATTTAATTTCCTTTCCTAATAACACAAAGTAGTCATTCCTTAATTGTTTTAATTAAATCATGTGCTCTGCAAGGTCATATATTTGAATAATTATATAAAAGATAGCTGTCATTTTAATTTGATAAACGTGTAATAGCAAGCTTATTTCTTTGCTCGTTGAGCAATATATGTTTTATTTTGTACGACTGTACGCCAAAACTACAATTTCACACTTTTTGGCTAAGAATTATTGTGACATGTACATAATGTGACGTATAATTTCATTTCCTCATATGATAACACAATATTATACTGCTAGAAAATGAGTACAATTCCTTGCTCGTTAAGCAATATAGTGTTTTGTGTTACCATACGTGCTTTTTTTATTTGTACTTTTATTTTAAATAAACAGGTTAATTAATTGTTATCATTATCAACAAGAGACTATGTTATTTTTATTATTTTTAGAACATACCCTCCTAATTTCAAAAAAAAAAAAATTAAATGAAACTGTCGACGAGAATTTCAAAACATTTATAAACGTTAATTGTAAACTTTAGCTAACAGTGACAATGCAGATTCATAAGAATTCTGTAAAATGCCGCCAAACTATTAATGATTTATGACTTAAAAAAACTTACCTCAAACAAATTCATTTTTATCGCTTATTTGTAACCTAATTGTATTTTCTGATGTCTCTTTATAGGGGGTATTAGGTATTATCTTCATTTTGAATGTATTAGGTACAAACTTTATTTATTTAAAATCACCTAATATGTCACGAATAATAAATTAAAAATAATTTGCAGAGACTTGCATATATAGACAATAGAAAAGGGAAACTAAAATTGTCTCTATCTTTAATGATTGAAGATTGATATCCAGTGTCCAGTAACTCGCCGACGTATTAGTTGTAACACGTCGGGATTTTACGAGTTTGTCATTCGCGGCATCGAACTGTTCCGAGGGCCTAACGTGTCGGCAGTATACGAATATGCAGCCGGGAGTACAGCAAGCGAAACCAATGGTTTCAAATAAAGTGAATAAAGCCGCGACGAATCTGCACATAGACTTTCTAATGCATTTTGGTCAATTGAGTATTTCTCAAATATGTAACACAATAATATTATTTAAAGAAAGCCATTAACAACAATAAAATACATAATATTTAACTCGTACATATGCAGTAAGAATTTAAAGCCATTAGTAAGTGTGGAAGCTTAGCCAAAAAACTTTGGTGGCATCATAATCATGAATATGATGATTCTAATACTATTTTTTAGTGATGGGACTTTTCATGAAAAGTAATTTTTAGACTAGTCCGACGGACATGTCCGGAAAAGTAGTGCAAAGTAACACAGTTACATCTCTAATCTGGATGTTTTTCAAAAACACTTTTCGAATAACATTTGCATTTTTATTTTCGTTTTTTAGGCAAATCATTTGTAAAATAGTTCCTACCTTTGGATTTTTTGGTCATTTATTCGCAAGTTTATTTTAATAAGATATGAAACCAAAATTTGATAACATCGTTAAAACATATAGAAGTCAGTAATCATTTGTAGTTTTTTCTTTTTTAAACAATATTTTGCCTTTGTTTGTAAGAAATTCAAACAAATTAGGTAATTTAATCTTCAATACACCTTTCCACTTTTAAAAAGTGTGTTTGGACTAGTCAACTTTTCAGACTAGTCCGTCGTACTTGTCCGTGGACATTATCCAAGCGACCCATCACTACTATTTTTTACGTAAATTCGTATAGTTCTTTTTTTTTTATTTGTGGACCTTCAATTTGAGTCATTTTTATCAGTAAAAATAAGATATTTTTTGATCATAATTTCATGACACCAGCTCTTCTGAGAAAGACATTTTAATTTTTGTGACTGATTCTTAAATTTTTGATTTAAATGTATTTATTTGTTTACGCCAATGCCAGAGTAGATCTACCTGTGAAAAATTATAATAAAGCTAAAAATAGGTATGTTGGTCCAATTCGATGTCCTTTCATTTTGTTAGGAGGGTTTAAAATTTTTTTTTTAAATTTGTACCACCACACAATTTTTTTGTAATAATAAGCTAGCGGGTCCACATTAAAAAATAAACAAAGGTAGAATTAAAAAGGACTGAATTTATACTAATTTGTACCATTAAAAAAACCAAATTTATTTAATGAAACTGCCTGGAACAACTTTTAATTAAATTTAAATGTGTTATACTTTTACACGAGCAGAATCAATAGTTACTAATGCGATAAAAGTAACATAATTTGTACAGGGTGATTCTTTTATCATGGGAAATGAGTTTTTCTCGTAAACGGCTGCAGCAAATTGAGTTTTGTGAAAAGTATTTTATTTGGGCCGGCTAATGCTTAAAATTGGGATGGATAAGGAAGTTATAAATAAGCGACGCTGGGCGTCGCGACGCTTCAATTTTTTTTTTGTCAGAAGCATACCATTTTTATTTCAGAAATTGAAAGATCTATTCAATAGAAACACTTTTTTCAAATACCATTTTTTTCCATCTAAAACCATTCAAGCATTACAGACCAGTTTTTATGTTCCAAATTTCTAGATTGCCATACAAAGAATGCATGGTATTTTAAATTTAACTAAATCAGGTAGGCTTTGAAAAAACATAATTGGCTTATATTGATTGATGTCTGAAACTGTCAGTGTAATTTCAATTATTTCTATTAAAATAGTGAGTAATAAGAAATATGTTTACACATTCAGATAAAGTTGACATGCTTCTTTTATACGGAGAAGCCCAAAAAAATGGTTTAGCTGCAAGAAGATTATATGCGGAAAAATACCCCGAACGCAACCTTCCAGACCACAAAATGTTTGCCAGGTTAGAAACTAGTTTACGTCAAAACCCTAAAGCATTTGAAGGTAGGTTTTGTGTTTTTTAATAAATCCCCATAAATTCAATGAGCCAAATTTGCAGGTAAAAGATCAAGAACAAAAACTGTCACGACGGATGAAAATGTGGCAATTATTTTAACAATCACCATGAAGCTTTTATAAGAGAGGCTTCAAGAGACTTAAATTTAAATTATAGTGTGATACAAAGAGTTTTAAAAAGCAACAAATACCATGACTATAAATTTCATAATTTGCAAGAACTTTCGCTTAGAGATTTTGAGAGGAGGAAGGATTTTATTTGTCAGTTTTTGGTGTCTTTGGATGACAATCCTAATTTATTTTCTCATATACTATGGACAGACGAAAGTCATTTTGTTAGTCATGGATTACCAAACAAAAAAAATACCCATTATTGGTCAGACGAAAACCCGCGCAAAATCAGACAACATCAAATACAGGGCCACTTTGGCATAAACGTCTGGTGCGGAAT